GGGTCTCGCTCTTGTTCAGGCTGGTTTCCAACTCCTGAGCTCAAACGATCCGCCCGCCTCGGCCTCCCAGAGTGCTAGGATTACAGGCGTGAGCCACCGCGCCCGGCCTAAGCTGACTCTTGAATGGAGGAAGGGACTGATATGTGTGGCCCAGGAGGCCACCAGTGAGCAAGGCTCTGGAGCCAGGTAACCATTCCTCTTTGTCCTTGTGTGTCACACTTTATCCCTCAATTCTGGAGGGATTCTCACCTCCTGAGAAGGAAGACTCACCACTGCAGGGGAGACGGCGGCCGACTCACCCTGAGGCCTAACACTGGAGGTTCCCAGGCTTTTGGAGCTGGAGGCCTTAGAGGACACCCGGCTCAACCTCCTCATTTTATTTATCTAATTAGCCCAGGTCATAGTTTCCTTCCTTCCACAGGAAGGTTCCAGATGAGCTTTCAGAGCCCTGGACTGGAGTTCTGCCCCAATGAACGAAGTGTCCGAGGGCAGGGAGGCTTGACTCAGGCCCCCCAAGACGTTTCCTAGCCCTGATCACAGCTGGGGAAAGGCTCGGTGTCACAGCTGTCCCCCACGTCCACACCAGCCCTAACGGGCACACACTTGGGAACGCCAGCCTGCCCGGCCCAGGCTGGCCCAGGAAGACCACGCGAGTCTTCCTGTCCTGGTCCCACCCAGATGCGTGTCCTCCTTGCTTCTCTGAGGGTTCCTCGCGCCTCCGCCGATTCCCTTAAGCGGGGCAGTCAGCATTAAACAGAAGCGTGATGCGTCCTGTGGCTTCAGCGCCCCGTGGTTCCTTCTCCCACTGCTCCGCCCTCTCCCCACATTGCATTCTTATTCAGTGGAGTAAACTGGCCTTTCCATTTTGATTCCTTCTTCTCCCTTACCCATGGGCACATCTGCTTTCCTTGCGGAGGTAGAAGAAAGGAGATAATGGCAGGGGAGGCATCACGTGTTAATAGATATTCTCGGTCCTCATGCGAGGGTGGAAGGAAGAGGGATCTTTGAGGCACCGCTGCAGCTTTCTCTTAAAAAAACAATCTTGGTTGTCCGGGGTTAGGGATGAGGGATGGATAGGTGAGCACAGATGGCTTTCAGGGCAGTGAAAATACTCTCCGCAATACTGCAATGGTGGACACGATGGTGGATACATTTGTCCAAACCCACAGAATGTGCAACACCAAGAGTGAACCCCAGGGTAACTGCAGACCTCAGGTGACAGTGATGTGTCAGTGTAGGCTCATCAGTTGGTGAGTGACGTTCCTAAGGGGGGAGGCTGTGCGTGTGTGGGGGAAGGGGGTATGTGGAAAATCTCTGTACCTCCCTCTCAATTTTTCTGTGACCTAAAATGCTTTAAAAATGATCTTAATTTTAAAAAAAGAATCTTTATTGATACATCTGGAGAAACACTATGAAAGCTGTTCTCACCCTCATCTCTCCTCTTAAGCCTTTCAAGTTCCAACATGGCGCACGCCTGCCCCCATGTGAGCAAGGAATGCTGACCAGAGAGCCTTTCAGGAGTGATCTGTATGCTGTTCTCACGGGAGTAGGGGACACAAGCAATTGCTCCAGATGGAAGCGTCTATGATCTATCTCTATATGGTGAGTCAGTAGGAACATGGATGTTCTCCATGTAACCTGAAGCGCGCCATGCCGTAAGCAAGTCCGGAGTCAAGCGTCCAACCCACGGGAGCTGGGAGCTTCGCCAGGACAGTGGTGAGGACACTTACCTCCTCCTTCTCTGGGCTGTTCCTCGATTCCACCTCTACCTGCAGGGAGATGGTCTCTCCAATGCTCCTCCTCTTGGATAAGCGGTCCTCATCTGGGAAAGAAGCAGCCCAGAGGCTGGAGTCTCCAGACCTCGGAGAGCCAAGACCAAGCCACCACCCCACCTCCCAACCCAACCCCTCTGCCTCTGCTCGCTCCACAGTCCTCTAAGGCTCAGTGCACACTCAGGCTATACCTGGAGCTTCCAGAGGCTTCCAACTGCTGTGGGCCTTCTCCACCCATCTTAGGGTAGTTAGTCTTGCTCTTTAGGGCTACGATTTTGAAATTGGTGATGAGCACAAGGAAGCTGCTTATGACTAGAATGCATATCTGAACTTGTATAAGCATCATCTGCTAACAGCACTAGTAGCTGTCATTCACGTAGCATTTTCCAAGTGCATCTGCATTAATACGGGCACGTCATTTCATCTACCTCTCACATCGACCCTCTAAGGCATGTATTGCTAATATCCCTATTTTACGGTCAAGGACACTGAAACTCAGAGATGCCAACGGACTCATCTAAGATTTTTCAGGCCATAAGTTGCACAGAGGTTTTGAGCTGGCTCTCTGGTTCCGTAGCCCATGTGAGCTCTTTCCAGCACAAGGGAGCCTCTCCCGTTTACAGGCCAGGCTGTCATAGGGGACAGTTACTTTCAAGGATCCGCACTGAGGAGGAGAGGTGTGGACATCAGGAGGACTCACCACAAACTTCCACTGTGTCTTTCAGCCCTTGTGCAACATCCAAGCTGCCATGGAAGGCAACTGAAGGGCCCATAAGTCCCTTACACTGAGGCCCTTACCTGGCTGACAAAAGACGGAAGCAGGCTTGGTAGTCCTTGCACAGAGCTCATACCTGTCAGCTGAGGTATGTAGGGCAGACAGAGCCGGTCCGAATTGTAGCCACTGCCCCCCAGGACTTCGCTGATCTTGCTCTGGCGGAAGAGGAACTCAATCGCCACTCCGTCAAGGTTTTGAGACAGCCTGGACGACAAAGGAGAGAGAAGGCATGTTAGAACCGTGGGTCCCTAGAATGATTTCCTAATAACTTCCCTTATTATAAAAGTAAGCTGGGTGCATTGGCTCACGTCTATAATCCCAGCTACTCGGGAGACCAAGGTGGAAGGATTGTTTGAGCCCAGGAGTTAGAGACCAGCCTGGGCCATAGAGCGAGACCTCATCTTAAAAAGAAAAAATAATAATATGTTAACTATGCAAGATGACAGAGTAGCAAAAGGAAAAGAAAATCACCCAGACTGGAGTGCAGTGGTTATTCACAGGAGTGACCACAGCACACTACAGTCTAGAGCTCCTGGGCTCAGGTGATCCTTCTGCCTCAGCCTCCCAAGTAGCTGGGACTGCAGGTGTGCACCACTGCACCTGTTTCCATTACATACTTTTATGTACACAAATATCCCCACCTCACACACTGTTCTGTTATCTACTTTATTCACCTATTATATAGGGAGTATTTTACATTAAGTACTCTTCTAAAACATCGCTGCTATTGTTTACCAGTTATCATATAGATGGGCCACAATTTATAAAGCCATCCTCTACTGTTGAACATTCTGTTTTTTCAAAACATCTTTCCTTTGAGTTCCTCCGATGCTGAAGTGATGCTGGCCCCCAGCACAGTCTATAGTCTGAAAACGTCACTTGGACTGACAGCAGTGTCCCATCAGGAACGACTCCTCCAGGATGCATTTCCCACGGGCGTGGCCGAAGCTCCCAGAGGCTGCGTCACACACACCAACGTGGCTCAACATCACAGGCATGAGGCGTGGATGACGGTAACATGACGGGGTAAACTGCACCCAGGACTTCCGGAGCACAGGCAGGGGCCGCTTTCTGCCTGTGATTCCACAGGCGCCTGTGCTCCCTGGCGTTGACCTCTCCGGGCCTCAGACCACCAGCCTGCTTACCCAGCTGCCTGGTGATCCCTGACCGCGTGCCCTGAGCTCTCCTCACCTGGGCCTCTCCACAAACACATCCTCAGGGAGCATGTACGGAGCCTCTTTCTTCCTGGTCTCTATCACCTGGAGTTTGGGAGGAATCAAACGACAAGAGCCGGGTTCAACAGGGAGAGGGAGCTTGGAGCAGCAAAAAGAGATCTCACCCGTTTCAGCATTTATCCCTCCCATAGCTTCCTCGGCAGAGCACACGCAGCCGGGCTTCTCCAGTAAGAAACTCCAATTGACAATGACCCTCAGAGCGGCCTGAGAAGTCCTGCCTCCCTTCGGGTGGTCTCTGGCAGAGTGACACAGCACCCTCCCTGACACCCCCCAGCCAGCCCGCCCAGGCCAGCTGAGACCTGGGGTTTCTTGCTTTGTTTTGCTAGTATGTATGTGTGTGTGTGTGTGTGTGTGTCTTTTTCTTTTTTAAGATGGAGTCTTGTTCTGTCACCTGGGCTAGAGTGCAGTGGCATCATCATAGCTCACTGCAACTCAAACTCCTGGGCTCAAGCGATCCTCCTGCTTTATCCTCCCATGTAGCTGGGACTACAGGCACGTGCCAAGATACCTGGATAGTTTTTCTGCTTTTTGTAGAGATGGGGTCTTGCCCTTGCTCAGGATGGTCTTGAACTCCCACCCCAGTCTCCCAGAGTGTTAGGATTACAGGTGTGAGACACCACGCCTGGCCTTGCTATTAATAGTATATTTTAAAGTTAATTCTAGACATCGTACAATTCTACCTACAAATGTTTCAGTATGTTTTAAAATACCTTTATGCAACCACAGAGAACATTTGACTATAGACTGGGTATTAGATAATACCAAGGAATCATTGATAATTTAACTAGCTATGTTATTAGCATGCTAGCATGGCAATCATGTAGAGAGGTGCCCATGTGTTTTTAGACGTATAAGTTATATACATAAGGTAAAAGGACAGGATAGTTGGGATTTGCTTTAAAATATTCCAGCAAAGAAAAAGAAAAGGAAATAGATGAAGAAAATAGGGGAAAATCTTCATAAATTTATTTAATCTACACAATAGCTAATGGATGTTTGTGGTTTTACTCACTACGCTTTTGCGGTATTTATGAATATTCACAGCAAAAGCTACAAGTGGCTTCAGTCCACGTGATCTGAGGGGTGTGTGCGGGTGCGAAGGCGTGCGTGGGGGAGGGCAGAAGGCAGGCAGTGGAGGGGCGGCAGCAGGTTTGGTAGGGGTACAGGCCACCCGCATGCCGGGTTCCCCTCCCCACTCCGTGGCATCGGATCAAAGGCAAAGCTGCCGCAGTAACCGCTCGCTGTTACCAGTTCCCACATCAGCCCTTTCCTCACTGCCCCGACTAAGGTCAGGACTAGTGCAGCGAAGGGGAAGCTGTTCCCAGGAAACCCCAAGTCCAGGGCCCCCCGAACTCTCAGGACCATGGGACACCAACCTCGTGGATGTGCTGGCAGAAGGCAGGCACCGTGGTGAGCTGGCTGATGAGGTTCAGGTAGGCGGCGCCCAGCGCATAGAGGGCACAGCGGTTGTACACAGGCAAGTTCTCCTCGTTGACCTGCGCCACATCCTGTGGCAGCACAGACGGGCCGCCAGCGTGAATGACAAACTCCACGGGCGCCCCCACCCTCCGCCCAACCTCTCCCCCACCTTCTTTAGAGAAGGCTCACTTTTCTAGACCAAGCCTTCCTCAGCATTTGTCCCATAACTTCCTGGGAGACAGTAAGACAAGTCACCGTCATTAAAGAGAAGGGAATGTTCTCTGGAACAATCTCTCAAATACTCACAGAGCATCAAGGCCGTGAACTCAATGCCCGACTCTGCAGTCCCGGCTTTGCGACCTTTACTGTCCAAACCCTCATCATTAATCCCACCACAGGGACGCCGTCCCCTCCACTAGCCGATTCTTGGAGGATGGCACTGGCTGGCTAAACTGGATTTCTGAGTTAAGCTGAGAGAGCTGTGGGAGCCACCAGGGGATTGGGACACAGAAGAATCCCCAATTCTAGTTCTTGAGGGTAAAGAGAATTAAGACAATTGTGGTGACCAGGTTGGCCTGCACAATGGAGCACCGTCAAGCAGGTGGCCTCAGACTCGCCATCGCTGAATTCCCAGGTTTGCCACAGTTCAGGAACACGATGCCTGCCTGGCTTCAGGACCCTGGAGACCCCAGCCTTTGAGGTCTGAAGGAGCCCCCGGGAAGCGCAGTGTCTTTGGGAGTGCACGTCCACCCGGGCAGACTGTGAATTCTCAAGCCCTGTCCCATGCCCCACTGGCACCCACGAGTCACGAAGGAGGCCCGTTACACACACAGGCTCCCAGGCCTAGGAGACCCTGACGCACCAGTTTGGGGAATACATATTTTTAAAAAATGCTCAGCGTGATTCTGAAGCACAGCTAAGTTTGGGAACCAGAGGATCTTTAGACAGACAAGTTTGTTGGAGCACTCAGGGATCGTGAGCACCCTCTTAGGAATCCTAGGAGCCTCACTCGGACCCTGCGAGAGACTTGAAATACCAGGGGCACAGGAGTGTTTCTGAATGACCCTGTTCCCTGGGCCTCCTTTAGCTCAAGTGTGAACGAAGCATGAACGAAGCATTCTTTGGGCTTCCCCAAACAGGACTATGGTTTGGGGCCTTCATGGAGGTATGACTAAGAGGGTAATATTCCTGGGCTCCAGCACAACTGTTAAGCAGCTGCTACTCCCTACTCTTAGCAGAGCTTGACCAAAACGGGTCTCCTCGCCCACCGCAAGCTCACCTGGACAGCCAGCACCAGGCGGATGAGGTCCACCACCACCTCCTCGTTGGCCAGCTCGATGCTGATGAGCGCCAGCAGGCCGTAGAGGGCCTCGTAGTGCTTCTGCATGTTCGTGTCCTCCTTACAGCTCAGGTAGATGTGTCTGTAGAGCTGCTGGGAGTGCTGGGGACGGGAGTGGGGCAGGGAGGGTGTGGAAGGGACAGGAGGGGCAAGGAGAAGGGGGAGGAGGACCGATTTGAAAAGGGGCAGGGTGGCTGTGTGTACCCTATCCCCACGCTCAGGGGCGACGCCTTTGAAGCAGACGCGGTGGGAGTGGATACACGCAGGGGTGCTTGCGCAGGGAAGGGTGCGCTCCAATGGAACCAGCATCAAAAGCTGCTGCCCAAAGCCAGTTTTAGGAGCAGAGCACAGTCAATGGCCCTAGACTGACTCATCACCCTGGGCTCAACCCCCTAAGAGGGGCCAGCTGGCCAGCCTGGCCATGCAGAGCCTCGAGGGCGGAGGCAGGCTCTGGGGGCAGTGTCTGCAGTGAGTGGGGGCCGCAGGCCTGGCCCGCCTGGGTCACGGTGCCCTGAGGCTGTGCTTGCCTACCTTCTTCATGAAGACAGTGTCCTGTCGGGAGCATTTGTCCACTTTCAGCTTCAGAACAGAGATGTCACTGAGGGTACTGGGAAGGGACACAAAGGGCCTCCTCAGCCCTGTGTGGGGCCAGCCCAAGCTCACATGGTGTCACTGGGCTTTATCCCCAACATCGTCAGTTGGTACCAAAGCCTCCCAGGACTCCCCGGCCCTGGTTCTGAGCCAATCTCCATCTTCTCCCAGGTTCTCCCGTTCCTGCCGCTTTCTCTTAAACCTCGACCCCGATTATTCTCTTCCTCCTCTTATCCCCCCAGATCTCTCAGTCTCTGAAAACTCCCTTCAGTGCCTGCTCTTTCTCTCCCGAATCTCCAACACCCCCTAGCCAGGCACAGTGCCCTTGGTCTCTCCTCCCCCTGCAGGACCCCAGGGTCAGTGTCGTGATCAGCTCCCTGGTGGGGCTCACTGAATATCTGAATTGTCCTCCCACCTGGCGTGAGGCCACTGGCCAAGAAGACAGGCCCTACCGGGAGTCCTTTCCCCCACATCCACTGGAGGAGAGACCCCCATGGTCACCTGATGGTAGAGAACTTGTGGCGGTTGCCATGACGATCGATGAAACTGATGAGAATCTCTAGAACGAAGAGACGGATTTCTGCGTCCTCCATGAGAGCGGTGGAGAGAAGGCGGTCAAGGAAGTTGCTGGGCAGGGCTGACATCATGTTGTTGCACTGGAAACCTGTGGATACCTGCAAAGGAGCCCAGGACAGGTGTGCTCAGAAACCACCATCCCTCTTGGGGGCTGGGAGGATACAGAGGAGCAGCCTGCAAAAGTTGGGTCTAAATCCATCCTTTCCAGACAGCTCCAATCCAGCTTCCCCACCCTTGGCCCCAGGCCCTAGATGCCACAGCAACTTTCTTGAACACTCTACTATCCTTCTAACAACCTACTCGGCTCAGCTCAGAAGACTGTGAGTGGATGCGGACAGTGTGCTGGGACCTTAAGGTGTTAAATGCAAGCAAGGGACAAGCACCCAGGGAAGCAGGAGCCTCTGAACCTAACGTTCCAGCCTGTCCAGGCACAACCGACAAATGCCCTTCATGAAGACAATGCGTCATTAAGAGTATGACAGTCACAAAGAACTGGACAGTGGAAGGACTTACAGGTGGGCTGAAGAATCAGAACTCACACACAGGGCAGCAACCAAAAAGCACACACAGACAGCATTTGGTCACATCTCTTCTCCACGGTGAGAGTGGGGCCTTCTGACTAAAGCAGGTGGCGTAAGTAGACACATCACGTATGACATTGCCAGGGCATTCAAAAGCGGCAGAGCATAGTCACCATCAAGTTCATATTGCAGAACAATGCCTCTGATGATTCAGAAGGCCACTGAGGTCTAGCACAGCCTGGGAGCATCAGTAGTTCACTGAAGGGGGATGGAGGCCAGTGAACCCCAAACTATCAGCTTAATAAGATGCTGGGTACAAATGAAGAGTGTAAACTCAGCAAAGAAGTGGCAGGAATATGGAGACCAAGGAGATAACTAGATGTGGGCAGTGTCAGAGCAAAGGGGCTTTATAACAATACAGTGCCGGAAGGGGTGAGGAGAGAAGGGAAGAGAAGGGAAGGCATGAGTGGGCGTGACGGGGTCTGTGCAGACGGGCATGGCCGGAACAGAGACAGAGACTAAGAGATGAGACTGGGGTCTAGGACAGGAAAGGGGGATGGGGACCTCCCAGCTTCAGTCCGAGAAGTTCAAAATCCAGATATGCATCCATTGGAAACTGAGACCTACTCTGAAATAAGAGGCAACACATGGAGAACAGCATTTTTAGACAATTCTTCTTGTGGCTGAGTTTATGACAGGTGACGAGAGGTGGGGGCGGGGACTGGGTTTTGGCTGTGCACAGGAATACCTGGGTACTGACTCAGAGCAACAGCTCAAAATCTAAGGCATCTATGTATTTTAACAAGTTGGTCACAGGAATGGTGTTGAGAGCGATGGATCTAGACTCCAGTGATGGGCGCACAGATGTTAAGAAGAGGCATATAAAACAACGACGAAGGGGAAGACGGGGTTGGGAGACTGAGATGTGCACATGTGTGGGGGGTGCGGGCAATGGGGGGAAGGACCTGAGGGGGCACCTGAAGGGAAAAAGGGGTAGGAACCAATAGATTCCATCTCAAGACAGTCATGTTTGACCGACAAAGCTATCGGTAGCCAGTAAGCAACCTTTGGGAAAATTAGAAACAGGTGCCCTGCCTGCTCTGGACACCCGGCTCCATGGTGCCCAACCTGGCTAGCGAGTGGAGCCCAGGCTGGATTTCAGCCTCCACTCACCCTTTTGGCTGGGCGTATTTGTGCAGTATGCAACCTGCATGACTGTACGGTGGTGGCCTTCTCTTGGTCCCTTGGAAGGAGCTGCCTCCGGCAGAGGCAGAGCAGGAATGGGGATGGAAGAGGCTCACCTGAAGGAGGGATTTCAGCAGCATGATCTGGGTCAGACGGTTCCTGTTCTCCCTGTAGACGAGAGACACACTCAGTCACCAGGCTGGTGATGAAGGCGGAGCTCCACACCTGCCTGCTCATTCTGCCTCTGATTAGTTTGCCCGTGGGGTAATCTTGTTGGGTTACCCAGGACAGCGGCTTCCAGGCACAGGAAGCAGACTAGGGCATTAATGGCTCCCCCCAAGGCGGGGGGTGGTTATTGGTGGGGCAGCCTGGGAAACTGTTCCATGAAGGGCTGCCGAGGGACTGGGGAGGGAAAAGGGACAAGAGGGCAGAGCCAGGAGAGCCAACGCCGACAAGGATAGAGCAAGAACATGGGAGGGGGAAGCGGGGAAGAAACCGGGCAAGGAGGGGCGCGGCGGACTCACCCCGTCCTCCCCGCCTCCAGGGGGTGCTGCAGGGAGGGCAGCGGGACCTTGCTCATGATGAACAGGATCACCTCGGAGCGCTGGTAAGTGGGCAGCGTGCTGGCGAAGGAGCCTGCGGGGAGCGTGGCGCAGACCGCTGGCCCAGAGGAGGCCGCAGCTCCCCGGGCCTCGCCTGCCGCGCCTTTCACTGAGTGCGGGCTGCCCTCTCCGAGACAGCCCGGACCAGGGAGAGAACCCGCCCAGAACAGTCCGGGTGGGACTCTGCCTGGAGCCGGTTCCTTCACTTGTCATTACTGAGGTCGTGGTTACGGTCTCAGCTCCTCGACAGGAGCAGGGTGGGCTGGAGAATGCTGGGACCCAGGACAGCCCCATTTTGCACGAGGCATTTTCCCCAGCGGCCCTCTGGGTGCCCGTGGGTATGTGGGGAAGGGCCATGGCTCCATCGTCCCTGCCCTGCCTGCTTCGCAGAGCCGAGGGAGGCTCTGAAAGCGCCGGGCCCTTCATACACTCACAAGGTGGCTTTACAGTTCTCCGCACCCAGGAGCACATCCCTGCACGACCTGCTGCCTTTCCCCTTTCCCCTCATCTCTTCCTCAGTCCCCGCCTCCCCTCAATGGCCCAACCCTGGAGGCCGCAGGCCTGATGGACAGCGGGGCTTGGGAGGGGCTCGCCTACGACCTGAAGCCCCGGAGGAGAACCCACGGGACTGTCCTGCGCTCTCAGGCCCCGCCCAGGCCAGGCCTGCGCACCGTGGACACACCCTATTTCTCCAATGTCTTTGCATAGCATGACAGGGAGTGTGACAATCCTGCAACGCCCGGACTGACGCTGCCGTGGGGCTGTCCCTACACAGGGCCCTGCCCTCCCCGGCCCCGCCCCCTGTCCCCACCGATGGTCTTGATCACCGCCTCCTGGAACATGCGCTCCTCGTGCTCCTTGATGATCTTGGTGCCCAGGCTGATGGCGCCGTCGTAGCTGCCGGTCAGGGCGTAGTCGATGCTGAGCCGCAGCTGCCTCAGCAGCGTGTTGAACATCTCCAGCACCGTGGGCCCTGCGCGCAGCGGGTGGGAGACCCCACATCCAGGGCTGGCACCCCTCTCGCATCCTCGCCCCCGGCTGCGTTCCAGGCAAGCCCGGGCTCACGTTGGCACTGCTTCTGTCCCCCCAGTTCCCCGGCCAACTTCTCCTCCGGAGGAAAACCCACCCGGCAAGGGCAGTTCTCTGGCCCTGGGGCTCCCTGGCCCTCACTCCCTCGCTCAGGGTCCTTACTTACCGACAGAACCGGTGGCCGCGATGACGGCAGCCTCCGACAGAACCTCCACGATGCCAGCGCGCACGGTCGCGGCGCTGCGGCTGTTGGCGTCCAGGTGGCCGAGGAGCTGCTGGATGACCAGGTGCGAGTGCTGCGGCTGCGGGGAGGAAGACGCGCTGGGCCCCCGTCAGCAACCCCCACGTGGCCTCGGGACCCAAAGGCCAGGGGTAAACTAAAGTGATGTCCCCAGGCCAGCGGGCACTGCAGGTGGCACCACACCCAGTGCCCTTTCTGGAGCTCCCCACCCCCCTTGGTCCAACAAAGAACCAAATCCCAGTGAAGACCTGGGTTTGCACATTTTTCCTGGGCCCTTTTACTTCAAATGGGTCCAAAGTCCATTTTAAACTATTGTCTTCCTTTTCATTTTTTCCCAGCCTCAGGTCTTAACTGGCAAGGGCCACGAGAGGCCACGTGGTTTGGTCCAGGGCTGTCAAAGTGTGGCCCGTGGGCTGGGGCCAATTCAAGATCTGTTTGATATCGGTTTACACAGAGGTAAGTACAGAAATGGAGGGCCAGTGTTCCACAAACAATCTGACAGTGCCACAGCAGCCCAGGGTCTGATCTGTAGGCTTGTATTTTCCATGAGTTTTTCATTTGATTTTTCTAGGAATTTGTTTTAATTGTATTTTATAAAAGTATTGGTCTGTGCTGTACTGGAAATTAAGCTGGCCCTTCTCCACTGCTAGCTTAAGCAGCACTGGTTTAGACAACTGGGGGCTTAGGAGGAGTCACAGAGGACATCTGGCTTTCTGCTTTAGTGCACTGTCCTGCTCCCAGGGGTGCCCTCGGTGGGGGGACAAGCAGGACCAGGAGAGCCGCCGTACCTGAATTGAGTACATGATGATTTTAAAGCAACGGATGGCGAACACCTTGGGCTCCCAAAGAGAGTGGTTATCCAGATGGCTGTGAGGGAGAAAACATGGGGGAATGTCTGTGAAACGCCAAGTGACGGTGGGGAGGAGAGACTCGCTTGGAGGGACAGTGACGCCTCCCAAGAGCCCTCGCAGTTCCCAGGTAGGTGAGGAGGGGCTCACAGGTGTGGCTGAGAGAAGAGAACCGGTTACAAAGGACCCTGGGGCAGCCCAGCCCCAGAGCTGGAGAGAGGCCAAGGGACAGGGCTCTGTGGCTGTGGACACGCGGAATGAAGCTGGGCACCGTCGTTCAGCGTTGGGTGCCTTCCTTCCAGCTCCTCTCCCCGCTGCACTTGGCCACTGTGCGCCAGCTCTTACTGTCACATTGCAGGGAACAAGGGACCGACCTGGCCACAGCACCACAACTGTAACATCCCCCTCCCTTCTCCCGGGCCGGCAAGGAGATGCAGGGCCTGCAGCAGTTCAAGGCTGAAGGCTGGGGCCGGGGCAGGGACACTCACATGAGAACAGGCTTGATGGCGTTTTTGATGTTGCCAAAGGCAGCCCGGCCCAGCAGCTCCCGAAGGCACCTCTCGGCCAGCTCCGCCGGGTTCTCCTTTTCCTTCTCTGGTGCTTGGAGGGGTGAGGGAGACCGGCTGGGGAAACAGGCACATGGTCAAGGACAGAATGCAAAGTTGCGAGTCAGTGTCTCGTCCCTGCCAGTGGTGACGGTCGGTCGGTCGGTCAGGCAGGAAGGAATTTGACACGGGCTGCCCTAGGCAACAGGGAGGCACCGTGGTGTCAGAATGTAAATGGGGCAAAGACGCCCCCCACTGGGGGAAGAGGAGGAAGGCTGGGGGAGAAGGGATAAAGGTCCTTTTCTGGCAACCCTTAAGGGTAGGCCTGGGGTGTCCCTGTGGGAAGGACTCTGAGCCTAAGGGCCTGGGGAGTGTCTTGATGCTCCTCAGACTTCAGAGGGAGGAGACGGGATACGAAGAGAGGGAAGGGGGCAGAGAGAAAAGGGAGAGAAAGCAAAAGGAAGGGGGAGGAAGGAGAGGAAGGAAAGGCAGGGAAAAGGAAAGGCACGGTGGTTGGCTCGGCATGACTCAGTGGTACCCAAGTCACAGGGAGTGGGCCCAGATAGGGACAGAACCAGGAGCCCTGGCCCTGAGACGCCAGAGACCACAGAGGGACCCGTCAGTGAGCTGCTATTCCAGAAACAGCCACCAGAGGGCACACTCACTTCCCGGCCAGTCTCCAGCAGCCTCCACTCCATTGACTGAAAGCGACAAACCCAGTATCCCCGAACCAGCATCATGCACAGATGGTCAAGGTGGGACAGCAACATGAACCTTCCCCACTGTCCCATTTCACAGAGGGGAAAAGTGAGGGGCAGGGATGGGACCGAATCCCATGCTTAGGGGCTCCAAGAGTAAAACCCGGTATCTGCAAGTCTTGCTGAGTGGCTGCAGGCTGGTCAAATATGCACGGTTTTAAGGGCCTAAAATAGCATCAGGAAGCGCAGGAGGAAGGAAGGTCCGGAGGGAAAGTCCTCAGTAATTGGAGCCATAAGAGGCATTTTAAAACCTCCTTGGCCCACTGCTTCCAGGGAGACAAAGGTAACCTGACTCTTGACTCCCTGTGTCCTTCCAGCACCCACTTACTCCAGGGAGCCCAGCACCACGGCTATCCTTCCTTCGCTAGGGCAGATGTTAAGGGGTACAGCGGGCTGGGACAAGGCCAGACCCAGGCTCCTGGGGAGCCAGCTTTGGACTGACTGCAGAACAAGCCACAGAGCCACGATCCCTGGCCTGTGTGCCCAAGCCATGTGGCTCCCGAGCAGCCTGGGAGGGCGGCCTCAGAGGGCCGGTCACGTCTGCGGTCCGAGTTTACCTCTCTGCTTCCTCTACGTGCTGAAGATTGAACAGCAGCGACGGGACGATCTTGTCCATGTGCTGTGGGTCCCAGATGTTGGCCTGCAGTTCGTCATTCACTGTCTTCCTCACCACCCCCTGCAGACCTTTGATGCCCGACATTCGAATTCTGTAAGGAACAGGGTGAAAGGGACTATGAAGTCCTTGAGCCCTGAGAAGTCCAGCTTCTGGGGCAAAGAGAGGAGCACAGTTTGGGGGATGGGGATACATTCATCCCCTGGAAGGCAGAATGGAGACCACCTGCTACTCTTCACGTGACCTGACCTCCCAGCTGGCCGGCTTTGTGTGCTGGTGGACATGAGCCCAAGAAACCATGTCTTCTGGCTGGTCATGGAGACTCCCAGACCGCCCTTGCCTTGGTCCCACCCAGGCTGCATCCCTACAGTGCTGGCCGCTCCAGCTCTCCCCCTTTAGTAGTTAGCTGGGCCCAAGATATAAGAGCTCAAAGTGCTGCCAAGAACTGATGAGGTCGAATGCAGGGCCGTGAGCAACTTACAGGGCAGGGGGTGGCAGATCTGCAGGGAGAGGCCTAGAGCTGCAGGCTCTCGGGTGCAAAGGGGTTCCAGCTAGGGCTAAGCTGGCTGAGAAATCAGAGGGGACACTGAGTAGCAGCACAAAGGGGGCCCCTTTTGCTCACCCCCAGTCCCCACTGTGCCAACTCAGGGTCAGCACAGCCCCGTGGAGGAAGCCTTCTTTACTGGCCATTAATATAGGCTGATATTTCAGCCTGAAGTTTCTTCTTTTCCTTTTTATATCAAACTTTTTTCCTGATTATAAAATCATACATGCTAATTACAGAAAAGTATAGAGAAGATTTAGCCCTACCACCATTACTCAAAGATAACCATTACTGGGCATTTTGGTGTTTTTCCTTTCTTCTATACATAATATATAACAGAATTAAGAACCTATTACATATTTAATTTGTATTGCCCCCTCCCCTTTTTTTAAGAGACAGGGTCTCACTCTGTCACCCAGGCTGGAGTGCAGTGGCATAATCATAGCTCACCGCACCCTCCAACTCCTGGGCTCAAGGGATCCTCTTGCCTCAGCCTCCCAAGTAGCTGGGACTACAGGCATGTGCCACCATGCCTGGCTAAGTTATTTTTTAGTTTTTTATAGCAATGGGTTCTCCCTATGTTGCCCAGGCTGGTCTCAAACTCCTGGCCTCAAGTGATCCTCTTGCCTCAGCCTCTCAAAGTGCTGGAATTACAAGTGTGAGCCACCTCACCCAGCCACGTATTGGCTTTTTGTCACATAACATTTGGTTATAAGCATTTTTTCTCTATCATTAACTTTTCAAAACATGTTGAAAAATTGCATGATCGACTATAAGAACTTTCTAAACCAGTCCCCCATTGATCATTTATTTCCCGTTTTGCTATTATAATAATGCTACGATGGATATCATTGTATAAAATATTTTACTACGTTTCAAGTCCTTGCCATGGGTGGAATCACTGAATCGCAAGGTGAGAAATGAAAGAAAGGCTCCCAATCCTGCCAAGTGACACTCCCCTCCCCAGCCCCGTGCAGGCGGCAGGAGACCGCGGTTCTCACTGTGCCCGCCGCAGCACTGAGGATCTCGTTTTAAACATCTGTTCTAATTTTATGGCTCAGAAAAATCCACACATCTTGTAGCTATTTCGGTTGCATCCTTTTGATGATTGTTGGAGTCGAACAGCATTTTTTCTAAGTGTTTAGTTGACAGTTGTATTTTCAGCTTCAGTTTTAAGTGGGGCTACAAGGGTGTGACCCTGGGCCTTACTGAGTGACCGTCACTGAGGGGTGGCAGGAGCTTAGCACCAGGACGCCCTGGTCCAGGACCCTTCAGGGCTCCTGGCAGTGGCAAGGACGCCCCGGGGAAACACTTGGCCACTCTGACCATGACCCCCACTCAAGCGCCCGAGCCAGAGGCTGTCGAGACTTGAGAGTAAACTAACTGGAATATTATTCCCCTTGCTATCCCTGGCTCCAGGTTAGAAGGCATTCCCCAGGGCAAATCGAAATACATCCCAAACATGCTGGGCTCATTCGTCCCACCCAGGAGGGCCTGGCTGGCAAGAAACCAGGCTTGGCTGGTGGGACATCTTCTACCCAGGGCTTCCTCAGGTGTGAATGTGGATTAACTTTTCTTCTTTTCCTAATGACTTTGCACTCCTTCGGTCTCCCCAGAGTCCTTTCTGTACATGTGCACGTTTCATTCCGTGACACCCAGAGCTGACTGACCCTTTCACAGTAAGTTCGGAGAGATCAGCCTGGGATCACTGTTCCTCTTACTGGGCTCCGTGGAGACCTACCCATGGCCAGGGGCCTGTGCAGTCTCTGAACCCAAGTGGAGTTCAGAGAATACTGATCCGCTGGCCCTGAGGGATCACACAGCATGTGCACACACACACACACGCACGCACACACACACACATTCCCACTGGGCAGAGCCGAGGGTGTTCTTGGAAAGGGCAGCCACCGGCATTCAGAGGCATCCCCTGTGCTCTAGAGCAAAGCGATGCTGTGCGCACGGAGAGCCCAGCACACCTGCCCCCACTCTGGACTCTGGAAAGACCAACAGGAAATGAAGGACAGGGGGCGACCTCAGGGAAAAGGGAGGTGCTGGAAGAGAGACGCAGAAGGGGCAGGAAGGAAGAAGACTGACGTCAGACAATCCCCCCCTCACCCTTGCGGCCTTCCTGGCATGGCTGACAGCTGCTAGTCTGGGGGTGTGACGGCACTGCTGGGGGAGGGGGCAAACCTCAGCCTTCCTGCTGATGTTCAGGACACTCCTGCTGCTGCGGGGTGTGGTGCTGACCAACCGTGTCACACACCGTGGGTTGATCGTATGTGTGTAGTGTCGTAGGAGCGTCCCTTCCACTCTGCCTCTGGACAGCGTGGCGCAGTGGGCGGGCAAGGACAATGCTTGACACAAAACACCTGTGTCCTGCTCCAGCACACATTTACTGATCATCGGTCTGACTCTGGGCACTGTGCTTCATGTATTTGTGTCAGTGTATCTTCATTTTAATTTCTCGTGGTTTTGAGAGGTCTT